ACTACCCTCACTACCACCGACAAGTTGAAACTTTTTTTTCAACATTTATTCAATAATTTATTTTTCAATTCCCCACTACCCTCACTACCACCGACAAGTTGAAACTTTTTTATCAACATTTATTCAAGAATTTATTTTCAATTCCCCACTACCCTGAGTTCTACCATTTATATACAAATCAATACACATCTTTATTTTTAAAATTTAAATTATTACTACTTTAACTACCTTCTATTTACCTCACATAAAGCTAATGTGAAAAATAAGGCATTTTATACATACAGGGGGGAGGGATGGAGGGGAAGGGATGGATAAGTCAGATGTAATCCTTATCTTATTTTGTGAATATTATGATAATTCTATCCTCTCAAGACATAATCCTTTTATTAACATCCATATTTAGAATTAGGGACAATCTATATAATCTTTAATATGAAACTAGGCCTTTAAGGCCCTTTTTGCTTTTTAATGTTACTTTTTTTCTAAAGAAAATTTCGAAGGTTTCCCTGCAGGAACTCGTAAACTCAGACTCTCTGATCCCTTCATCTTTGCAACCAAATACCGTAGAGCTTTCATATTTAATACTGGGAATTATGTTACATCAAATAATCTAAGTTTAAAATATCAAAGGTTTTTACCATCAGGTTGCAAAGATATAGGGATAAGAACGTTTGAGTTTGTGGCAAAACCTCATTTTCTTTGCAAAATTTTCAAAAAATGTGTACGACCTTTTTACCAATGCAACGAACTTTTTTGTGAGCAGTCCAATTTTATATTCTCACCCTTTAGATGGAAAGATTAGGTGAAAGAGTGTTTTTGAGTATTGGTATTCATTATACACAGAAATATTGATTAACAAATGAATAGATATATATATGGATTATATATGATATAGATGAAGTAAAAATAAGAAAAGATAGATAGATGTATAGTTTTAAGCACTTATGTAACAAACATTTATTAATATATATGTAAATAAATTATGTATAGTCATTCTGGGTGTTCGATAAAAAAGGGAAGTTAGTTCTTAGCTTGAAGTTAGTAAGTAAGAATTTTTCAAAGAAACCCTTAAACAAATAGCGATTTAAATTTACGACTACGTCAATCGTTTATTTAGTAACACCCTAGTGTATATACTAATACATACACCCTACTATATGTATAATGTTTAATATGTAACGTATATTGTACATATATGTTTAGATTTGAGTGTCATATAATTTGTGTTTAAATTAAAGATCTAAACCCAGTATTCATGAAATACATAACCTTATTAACCTCAACCATTCTACACTATATAACTAGCCTTTTATCCATACACCTACCCTTCAAATTAAAGGGTTGTAGAAAAAATTAGGTTCAAGGGATTAATAATTCTTGACCATGGAACCCTAAACCCATCATCGATTTACAATTATATTTGTCTTGCAAGGGAGGACTGAGATATAGACAATTTCTCTCTGAAATGGGAAAAATCACTGCCAGGTCTTCCCTGTCTTTGCTTTAGAAATCTACGTGTTAAATTTGGATAAAATAAAGGGTATTATTGCAAAATGAAAACTATTGATAAATGTACAGGCTCGCTTAATATCACGATGACGACTCCTTAAAGTAAATTAAATCTGGGAATACAGTCATCAACATTGTTTGTATGTATGAAAAAAGGTAAAATTTCCTATATAAATAAATAAATTCTATTGTTATCATCATTTTATAACCTTTTTTTATTTCATCCAAAAATTGTTAGAACATGTTGTCACTTGGCCAACATTCTTTAAAAAAAAATGTTTTTTAAATGACGATTTAAATATAAAAATATTTACCTTATGATGATATTTCTGGAAGTATGATTCTGGAAGGAGTTCTCGGTTTAACTGGAGGTCAAGGACAACATCCTGACCTCCTAGTACTAGACCTACAGATAGATGATGAGCATGACCACCTTCAACACCTGGTTCCCGGCTGTCAGGAACAGCTCGTCGTTCACTGGGACTATACAGCTCAGGGCTTATCACAGTGTGCTTCTGAAAATAAAATATTGTAATTTATAATTTGATTTAATAATATAGACAAGGAAAACGATAGAAAGATGGACAAAAAATAAAATTGAAGAAAAGTAAGGTTTAAAAAAATAATTGCGTTTATTTGTAATCTGCTTTATTTTCGAAAGCACAATTACAAAATATTTTTTTATGGATTTCCATAAAATTAAACACAAAAAGAACAAAAAATGTTGGGGACTTATGACTTGCAGTTAACCACTTCAGGGGCCATGTATGTCTGGGACACCAAACAATGGTCCTTTCGCTACACCTTTTTTTGCCAGACAATCCATAAAAACAAGAAAATAAATGCAGAGTCTTGTAGACTAGTTTTCTAATAAAATATTTAAAAGGTCTTGAAAAACTTTATAGAGCTGATGGCTAGAGTGGGAAGGGAATGGGGGAGGGGGGGTTAATTGAATGATGGATAGGAGGAGACCCACTAGAGACCCCTATGAGAGAGAATTGAAAATAATTGCAAAAATGTCAATCAAGAAGATTATTGAGCTCTATACTTGAAGATGGATAGTAATCAAACCAATCAGGAATAAGGCCAAGGTAATATTACATGCCAAGCTGACCAGGCGCCTGGGTGATATATGTCTTTTGCTTGAATGTCTGTTAGTTTGTGTCCGATAAACGTTAAAACGACTGAACCCATCGAACCAACACATTTCTAAATTAACCCCAGGGAGGGAGAGAAGGTTTTTAGACGGAAATAAGATTTTGCGAGGAAAAAATGTCAACATTTCTTATTTTTAAAAATAGAATTGCAAAAATAAATCCAGAACATTAAAAATTAAAAATTAACAAACATTCAAAACGGTTCTTAAGTTCTTAGGAAGCTATACGTTTACAAAACAAAAAAATATATTTTCGTCCAAAATACTCAAAAGATTTTTAATTCTGTTTTTTACGTGAGATCCCCCCCTCCGCACATATATATATCAAAAACATTCCTTACATAGCCCTGTTTTGAAGTTGAATAATTCAGATATTATTCAGCAAAATCAAATTATTCACATATGTTTCCAATCAAAATAGTTTACTAAAACAAAAACAGTATTTTCAACCGAGAAATGTTATTGCCGTTTTTATTATGTTTCTAATAAAAAGGCTGAAATATAAAGCTGAAACATGAAATATATTTCAGGCAGTTTGTGTACAAAGTATACATCAATACAAAGAACAATTTCATATAAACTTTCCAATCCTCAGGATTATCTCTAAAACTAAATTTGACAGGGAAGAAATCGTAAAGATCTAAAAGTGACCACTATATCCATCCTTTACAAAACCTTGTGAAGAATTAAGACGGATTGAGAAGTTTATTTTACAATATTCAAAACTATTCAAACATTTGAATTTTGTCTGGTTTAAAACTCTATTCTGACCAGTAAATCTCTGTATCCTGTATCTCATAAATAAGCCAATGTATCCTACACTCTTTTCCTGTATCTCCTACTTAACATCTGTATCCTGTATCTCATAAATAAGCCAATGTATCCTCCACTCTTTTCCTGTATCTCCTACTTAACATCTTTATCCTGTATCCTCTAATAATACACTTTACCGTGTATTCCTGAATAAACCCATGTGTCCTGTATTCCCTAGTAAACCCGGCTGTATCATGTATCCCATAATAAGCCGCTGTACCCTGTATTTCCTTGTAAACCCGGCTGTACCATGTATCCCATAATACATTCCCTTTATCCTGTATTCCCTAATAAATCCATCTGTATCATGTATGTATCCCTTTATTAACCCTTATTCTGTAAATCCTAATAAATATTGGTTTGATGCATCCTGTATCTTGTGCTCTGCATCCTATATCTTGCATCCTGTATCTTGTGTTCTGTATTCTATATCTTGTATCCTGTATCTTGTGTTCTGCATCCTATATCTTGCATCCTGTATCTTGTGCTCTGCATCCTATATCTTGAACCCTGTATCTTGTGTTCTGCATCCTATATCTTGTATCCTGTATCTTGTGTTCTGCATCCTACATCTTGTACCCTGTATCTTGTGTTCTGCATCCTTTATCTTGTATCCTGTATCTTGTGTTCTATATCCTATATCTTGTACCCTATATCTTGTGTTCTGTATCCAATATCTTCTATCCTGTATCATGTATCTTGTGTTAAGCATCCTTTATCTTGTATCCTGTATCTTGTGTTCTGTATCCTACATCTTGTATCCTGTATCTTGTGTTCTTTATCCAATATATTGCATCCTGTATCATGTATCCTCTAATGGTATTCTGTATCTCATTATCTTTCTTCTATTTACACTTTCCCTTTCTTTTCTGAGGCTTAATCTACAAACAGCTGCAATGGTACATTGATTGTCGAAATTTATCTTCTTTCGCCCCTCTTATCCCATTATAAATAAAGGGTAGTTCGAGGTTCGGATAAGAGGGGTGGGTGAATAAGACGACTAAGAAAGGAGGGGTGGGGAGGGATTAATAAAGGGTAGTTTCCACAGTATAGGATAAGATAAGAGAAATGTTCTAGAATAAAAAACATAAAATATTAGAGAACCCCCCTGGGTATGAGGCCCAAATATCCATTATGCTGCTGCAGGATAATGCAGGATAGGAAGGTGATGCATATATATAGATACAAGTTTGTTTAAGTAAAGCTTTTATTATAATATTTTTTCTTAGATTTGCTTTCAATTAAAAACAGTGCATTTCATTTAATATCATGCTTTCAACCACAAAACCCTTTTTCTGAGAAAATATTGATAAGAAGTCTGAAGGAACGAAACAAGTTTTTTTTTGTAAAATGAAAATTAAATGAATTACGAGGCCGCAATAAAGCATCAGTAAATTCTTTTCGACATATATAGTTAGTGGTTTTCAATTTATTTAACATTAGCTGAAGGGCCTGGCGTTGCCCGTGGAAAAAATTAAGGGAAAAAATCGATTTTGTTAGCCTTTAACACTCCCAGGCTACCCATGAGTGTTCACAAGAAATGTCAGTCCATTCGGTCCAGCCGTTTGGCCGGCCAGAGGGAACATAATAAATTTAGATTTATTAAAAGCTGTATATTTTAGGACATCGTGTATTTGCTCTCTCCTATTTCTGTATTATGAATAATGGAGATTATTAAAAGAATTATTATACTAATAAACTTTATATTATCTTCAACTACTGCTGCGGGGGAATTCAAAACGAGAATTCAAATTTGATATTTGATGGTAGATATGGTGCTTAGAATGGAACTAAGCATTTAGGAAGTATTTTAAAACTTTTAATAAAATGTAATGATTCGATTCAAAAAAGTTCCCTTTTCAAACATTTATCTAATCAAGAATGAAGAAGATATTCTTGTTTTTCTAGATAAAAATTGAATATTTTTTTTCTGACTTAAAGGTGTTTTTTCTTTTTTATTTCTCCATCGTTTCTTATAAGCAAGTCACTAATGCAGAGAACACAAGAATGAAAATACGTTCAATCCCCTCTCTCTCAACACAAAGAACAGTTGCCTATTCCTCCAATTTGAACTTTGTATCCCGTTTAACGTTTATCAACGGTTTCACTCATTAAAATTGAAACTAAAGAGCCCAACCCCGCGTTTACAAGCACAACATTCAGTTTGGCAAAAATCTCTATCGATATACGTACAATCTACGGATTTTAAGACCTCGTAGCTCCTAAGAGTTTTCATTTTAAGATTCATTTGATTAAAAACTAGAAATTCAAATCATATTCTACTTGTTTTTAACAATATCTCTTTAGTAAGAGTTATAATTGAAAAAGTGTAAGATTTGACGTTTTCAAGACCAAAAAACTGAAGTAGGCAGAGATTCCCAATTATTTCCAACCCTCTGTGTCTACGACGGTACTTGGAGATATATCTTTCTCAGATCTAGTTCACACGTCTATCCTCATCCGATCTTTTCCCTTCATCCGTCCTACCCTTCCCTCCCCCTCTCATTCGTCTTACACTCCCCTATCCCTCTCTTATCGGTCCTGATTTGTAATCTTGATTTCTCAGAGATCGTCGAAATAATAATTATCTATTTAAAAGTCAATGCAGATTTTAAAAAAGCATACAAAAAGTAATAGTAGGTATTTCTATAAAATAAAATAATTACACAGAATTCATTTTTTATATAGCTTGAAACAGATACATGCATACTTGTACTAGACTTTACTAAAATAATAAATATACTATATATTTTGCATAATATATAAATATATATATAATATATAAATATACTCTGCATAATATATAAATATATAATATGAAGGGTTAGAGGAAAAACTATACTCTGAGAGCATATTTAGGTCACAGAACGTTATAAATATAAACAATACAATCTACTTGTACAACTTTTTTTCTATATTTCCTCTCATTCTTTACAGGGTGTATAGGGGCACTGGGGGGAGGGGGGGGGAAGGGGGGGAAAAAGGAGGGAGGAGGGGTTGTGATAGCTTCATGAATTTTAATAGCATCCACTATAAATTCTCTAATAATACTACTTCATTTTTAAAAATTTGTCAGTTATTTTGTGGGTCAATTAAATTTCAAATAAAATATGTTTAAACATATGAAATCAACGCTTTTTGTATTCAGATCCATCCCAGTTTTAAACCTTTTTATTATCACATACACCTACAGAAAGTATCTGTATGCGGCGGAGAAACCCTTCAGCTACTTTAGCAATATGATTTAGTACTTCCGGTAGGCAGGGGGGGGGGGGGGCAGGGAGGGGGTACTCCTATAAGAAAGAGAAGTTTTGGAGAAAAAAGGATGAAAATGCATTAATAATAAATGGTACAGGAAACAAGATAAAGAATTTTAGAGGGAAAAAATTGGCAGGGCAGGGACAGGAAATGGGAAAAGAAAGAAATGTTGGGAAAAGAATTGGTAGAGGGAAAAAATGGGAAAAGAATTGGTGAGGGGAAAAATTGGAAAAGAATTGTTAGAGGGAAAAATGGGAAAAGAATTGGTAGGGGGAAAAATTGGAAAAGAATTGGTAGGGGGAAAAATTGGAAAAGAATTGGTAGAGGGAAAAATGGGAAAAGAATTGGTAGGGAAGAAAAAATGGGAAAAGAATTGGTAGGGGGGAAAATAGGAAAAGAATTGGTAGGGGGAAAAATGGAAAAAGAATTGGTAGGGAAGAAATGGGAAAGGAATTATAGTAGGGAAAATTGGGAAAAGTATGGGAATAAGAAGGGTAAGGGGGAAGAAAATAAAGTGAGGGGTTTGTAAAAGAGGAGG